ATTTTGGCGCGTGGAAGAGAGAGCGGAGTGTAGGACTCGTATCTGCCTGTGTATGAGGCAGATCTTTCCTTCTTTGGGTCGATGGCCAAAGATTGCTCCGGGGCCTTTGACTTTCCCTTTGCCTTATGGCCTTGGCCTTCAGACAAGGGTATTTGTCTCTGTTTCCCTCCCCCGAATTGAGGTTGGGTTTTCGCTTTGTTCCATTCTTCGGCTCGGATGAACTTATCCGAAGCATTAAGAGCTTCCTCCAAGGTCTGCGGGGTATGCATGACCATGAAGTCTAGGAACTTCTCGGGCTGAAGGCCATTCTGCATTGCGAAAACGGCTAGCCCCTGGTCCAGCTGGGAGACGCTTGATGACTCGTTACTGAAACGGGTCAGGTAGTCTCGGAGGCTTTCGGTTTCCCCCTGTTGCAGACTCATGAGCTCTGCGGTAGTCTTCTCTCGGCGGTTTGCCGTGGAAAACTTGCTCCTAAACTTGGAGGACAGATCATCCCACCCTGTTATGGAGCCTTGCCTTACTCCCTTGGAGATCCACGCTTGCGCGACCCCCTTGAGAGTGGTTGGGAAATATTTGCACCAAGTCGCCTCGGATCTGGGGCAAAGATGCATATGAGTCTCATACGAGGCCACGTGATCCTTCGGATCCGTGGTCCCGTCATATGTGATGTGCGACGGTATTTTAACCGTGGGTACGCGCTCTTCCAGTATCCATTGCTCGAATGGTGAACTGGCGGGTAGCATAACGACCTTGCCCTTGTTCCTGGCCGAAGGGACCGCGCTCCGCCCTCTTAGAGAGGTAGGAGTGGTTTTCGTCCCTGGCTGGGAAGTCTGGGCCTCGGCTGCAGGGAACGAGAGGCGACTGCGCACGCTCGGTTCCTTGCCGCCGAGTCGGTCAAGGACACTTCTGCGAACAGTCTCAGGTTCTCGGTGAGTAGATTCTGGCCGAGAAGCTGAGCTGCTGCTCTTATGCGCTTCTGGTCTTGAGGATGAGGATCCTTTTAAAAATTGAGGGTTCTTTTTCCTCTGTTTTTCATTTTTCCAGGAATCCTCCTCCCACTCTTCCAGTTCCCGGAAGGAAGGAAGCTTCCCACCATCATGGTCTAACTTCCTCCGCTGATGCCGGGTATGCGGAGGAGTTCGATCACGAGGTGGTGGCATATTTTGTGCCCTCATCGCCTCCATGAGTACTGCCAGCGCTCTTGCCACCTCTTCCGAGCTGGGCCCCGTCATAGGGGTCCTCGGCCGAGTGTGGGAATGAGGGCGCGCAGCCGATGGTTGGCTTTGGGACACTGAATGTGTCCTATGATCGGACTCACCCCTGCTAGACCGAGAGTGACCCGGCCTATAATGAGAGTCATGAATTACGGGAGATAGGGAATCCTCCTTGTATGATCCTCCCCCCGAGCCGGCACCCTTGGGAGAGTTCCGGTCCGGCGAGGGTGATGGTGTAGGGGTTTTAGGCTTTTCGGCCGCTCCTTGACAGAGGCTTTTGCTCTTGCGGTTCTTAGCCATTGCTGCTAAGATAATTGCAAAATGATCTTGGTTAGGAATGTGGCTTAAAGATTTTTGAAAGTCTTCCCCACAGACGGCGCCAAATTGTTTCGGGTGAAAACAATGGGACCTTGCCGAAGGTCCGCTGAAACGGAGAAGGCTGGATTCGGTCCAAGTTATGTTGGGCCGAAGGTTTCCTGCACAGTAAACACACGTAAACTAGCCTCGGGGGTGTTGCCGAGGAAGGCCCCTCCGATGCTAAAGTCAGTACAATGTGTAAGAAGAGGACACTATGCAAGAGAGTTTGTTGCTTGAGGCTTTAATGGAATATATCAGAATATATGAATGAACATATGAATGAACCTATGAATGAACCTATGAATGAACATCTGAATGTATCAATATTGATGGCTTTTATACCTCATCATACATGGAGAGGTTGGGCCTTAGCCCAATTGGCTTGCTTTGTGGGCTGACCTTTGACTTTAGCACAATTGGAGAGTTGAACCTTGACCTTGGGCTTTTAATTGGATCATTTAATATCTAGGCCCAATTGGACTAAATTGGACCCAAACAAGCTTCATAAAAAATATTGTTTATCTTATCTGTAGTTTAATTCTGCAGGTATGCAATCTGCGGTGAGGCCACTATTAAAAAAATTACATTGGTTAGACCCTCTACAAGAGCAAGATTAGCAAACATTGATGGTGTCAACCAGGTATGTCAGCTGATAACTAATGTATGTTTCTCTGTAGCAAGTAACTCTTTCGACTAAATAAAGGGTTATGTATATTGCTGTCTAGTGTCTTATCCTCAGTAAAGTACTAACTGTGAAGTCATTTTGAATTTCTCTCATTCTTTTTTCGAATTACGAGTTTTGATCCATCAATCAATACTCTTAGTTTTCCACATTATGTTATATGTATAGAGTTCATACTTTGCTGTAAGGCTGGCATTTTAACTCATGGTTCTTTTTGACGTGGTACATAGTAATTGCTTTGGCTTGATGACTAATAACTAGAGACTTCATCTTTGAAACTGTGCATTGTTTGGTTGGCTGAATCAGTATGATCAGGGACTTATGTAGTGAAAACGCATGATTTGCTCTCTTTTGAGTTTGAATAAATTATTTACAAATGCCTAAGCTGCAACAGGTGCTTTCTTCATTAGAATTTGACTTTAACAAGAATTTTGAGTGTCAATGTAAGAGAATTACTGATATTGGAGCAAACACAACATATGTTGGGGAGCCAGTCATATTTTTCTCAATTTCATTGTCTTTGAAAAAGCAAAGCTCCTGGAATATATACCAATAATGCTTAATTATGGAGCCATGGTGCCTTTGTACTTGAGACTTGCTAAAACTCTACGATTCAAATTATGCATCCTACAACTATCCTGGTTCCATTAGCAAGGTGCTAGGGTCCATTGCAATTAGTAAGATATAGATCCTTACATCGTTGTGCTAAGTACATCTTGTCCTCTTGCTGTATTCCTCTTTTCGATTTCCAATAAAATATTTTTTTTGAAAACAAATTAGTGATGTTGATTGACTTGTGTGGCCGAGCTACTTGTGTTGTCGCTTATCATAGGGTAATGTAGCCCTAAAGCTTGGACGCTTGGAGTGGTGATGTAGCTGTTACAAATTACAACTAGTAAAATCAATGGTTTTCTGAATGAAGAATTGCCAAATAGGATACCTTACAAGATTGGCTCGCTGATTAAGGAAAAACCAGGTGTATTATGAATATTGGATAATGATAATATCACACTCCATACTTTTTCTGTGCTTTAGTTTCTTATTGAACAAATTGTACAGGTTCACAATCCTCCATAACATATCAAAAGAAACTACTGTGATAAAGTTGAATTGCTATTAACCAAAACAGGAGATATGTAGAGCTCACCGTGGGGTGCTAATTTCTGTTACAATATTGCTTTCAAAAAGATAACTAAAGGGTTTCAAATGCTTGATATTAAGTACTCCTGTTCCATGAAGTTCCCACTTATTGTAGATCCACATACCATGGAAATTATACTCTCTCCATTTTTTTTTATTTACCCATTTTGACTTTTTGTGCGATTCATATTCTCCACTTTCGCGAGAGGTAGGGGAAGACCTAAGAAAACTTGGAAGAGGGTGATTGAGAGTGACATGAGTGCTTTGGGGATTGAGGGAAATATGGTGTTGGATAGGGCGGTGTGGAGGGAGAAAATTTATGTCAACGATGCGTCGTGATTATATATACTTTTTAAATTTATTTTTGTTTTTAATATTATTTTTAGCCCACCAATGTTTTGTGAACTGTATTCTGTATTGTTTTTCTTTGCTGAAGTTTTCTCAAACCTTTATGTTATCAACTTGGATGTTTTAACCACTCGTTTAACACTTTCTTGAATTTTATTCTTGAATCTCTTTTAAAACTCCCTTAATTTTTCTTAAATGCTCTTTAGTTTACTCACTTTACTCACCTTTTTTCAAACTCTTTTAAATGATGGTTTTGTTATGTTCGTTTCTTTATATCGTACTATTCCTTATGACGATTCATGTTAGACGACCCCAAGTCATTTTGGGACTAAGGTTTTGTTGTTGTTGTTGTACGATTCATATTCTCCACTTTGATTAACATTGGTGATGTACATATAAGGAAAAATTAATCGTTTATTGTTACATTTGTCTCATTATATAGTTTCCAAATATCAAATTATTATAATATTTGACTTATTGAATATTAAATTAAAAAATATAAATGGTCAAAATTCCGCATCGGCAAGCGTGAAAAGCCAAAAAGGGTAAATTAAAAAGAGGCGGTGGGAGTATTATATAAGTTGGGTACTTGTGAATCGTGATTACTTTTAGAGGAGAAAGAGGCTGGGTTGGGGTAAAATGATAGTATTTGTTTGACAAAAAGTGAATAAACTAAAGTGAAAATAACTCTATGGAACGACCCAAAATGAAAAGTGGGAAGAACATTATGGAATGGATGGAGTATATGCTAAGGGTGTGCTTGGATTGTGGTAAGTAATTGAAGGGGAGGCAAAATGAAGGAAATGAACAAGGATGAAGGTGGTGCTAGATCCTAGATGGGATATAGTGATGGTGTAAGGACAGAGGGTGGGAGAATTATCACCTCATGTTGGTGGTAGTGAACTAATAGAACTATTACCCCCAATACAAAGGGTGATTCCCCCATTCCTTCCTCCTACATAATCACCACTGCCATTTATCTCCAATCTCTTAATTTTGTCTCCTATTACCTCTTTATTCATCACTTTAAATCCAGGCATGGCCTTGGGTGTAATTCCAGTTAGTGTAATTTATAGCGAGTAAAATGCAACTCTGTACAGTAAAGCAGTGACTTCCATGATCTTCCAGTGGTAATTGACTGCCACATATGACAAATTAGTTTCTCTTACTTGAGATTTCTGATTGTCGAACAGCTTCTCTTGTGATTACTAGCTTTTTAATCATTAAGGTATAGAGATTTTGGCTGAAACTTTCGAAAAATGTTGCAGCATTTCGTCACCACATATGGGGATCACTTTCTTCAAGCTATTAGGCATCTGTCACAAGATCTTAATATGTCGTTGGATGGGGAATTGAGCATACAAACTGTTTCAGTGAAAAAGGTGACTCCTGTTCAAACCCTTCCAAAAAAGCTTACACCAGCAAAGTTTGAAGCATGGAGAATGTGGCATGAAGACGGACATTCGATGGAGAAAATTGCTGTAAGCTATTTTATTTAAATGCTCTCCTTTTCTCCTTGCTGTATGTCTCTTTGAAGTTTATAATTTCTGTTGTTTTCCATTCAGAAAATTGCCTTTGTAAGCTGGGATATCATGCATTGCATGTGTTTGTGTGTTACGTAATACTGTGTAAGGTAGGCCACTGAGCCCTGCTAGAGGAAGGGGAGTAATCCCCCTTTGTCAGGGATGAGGATTGGACCTGTGTCCATCGAATGGATGACCTACCCTGATCCTCAGTGCATGTGTATGGTCATATTTTTAGTGATTGTGTTCATATTTTCTGGAATACACCTGCTACCATTTCTGGTTCCAACTTCCTCTCTTTTTCAATGACAGAACTTCCCTGGTAGATCTGCCCCAATTAAAGAAGGAACTGTCCTCAGTTATCTCCTTGAGGCTTTTCAAGAAGGCTTAGCTACTGATTGGCCCAGATTTTGTGCTGAGATTGAACTTACACCCGAGATGTTCACGAATATATTGGATGCAGTTACAAAGGTTGGCTCAACTGAAAAGTTGAAGCCCATTAAAGACGAATCACCTGAAAATGTGAGTTCTGTACAAAAATTGTGTGCTTAGTCATGTTTTGATTTAATAATGCTTGAAAGCTGAACTCATGAGCTCCATTTTCTGTGTAAGTTTTTCGGATATCGTACTAAAATGGATTACTGATACCAGGTAAATTATTCACATATAAAAGCTGGTCTTACAATGCTAAGCTGTGGTATCTCTTCTCCGTCAGAGCTTAAGCCTATGAAAAAAGCTAATGAAGTCCCTGAAGCAGCTGAATCATCACCAAACTCTTTGGCATTGTGTCTTGCTGAAGAATCTTGTAACTTGATCATAAACTGCCAAAGAATAGAAAGGATGAAGAAACTGATTTTGAGTGTGATATGCTTACATCAAAGCGTTGCAAAGTTGAAAAAGAAAATGATTATTGCAGTACAATGGCAGCCACTCAGAGTTCTTTAGTAGAATGGCTTAAAAACTATGATGATGGGGTGTGTTTCCTCTCTTAGTCAACATTACCCAGCAAACAAAATCGAAAAAAAATAAAATAAAATTATTAAGCATCTTACATATGACTTCATTACCTCTGATTTCTGCAGGTTGCTTTGCACGATATTATACAGCACTTCAAAGATTCAAGTGAAGAAACTATACGGACATTGCTTGTTGACCTTGAAGGTGAATTTGTGATTTACCAAAAGAGCGGTGTATATAAGATGTTCTAGTGAAACAATCGGCACCTCAGTGAGAAATATATTGATAAAACACTGATTAGTCATCACTGATATTTCTGCCTGTATATCAGTAAGTCTGCATAATGTTTTTGTAATGAAACATGCTGATTATCTTATTGTAAAAATATACGAAGTATCATCCTTGTGTGATACGGCTCCTTTTATAAAATTATTCCCTATTCTCATGTCTCTTGAAAGGCTATACATATACTTGGTGTTAATTCTTGATAGGTGCACATTGCAGATCTTCTGACATGCCTTTGGATGTTAAATTTTCAGGGTTTTTTTTTTCCTTCTTTAATTACTTGCACAGTTGTCCCCTTTATAAATTTGTTCAGGAATTATGACTCTCAAATTTCAATAGACACTAGACAGGGCCTGTATCTCCAACTTGTATTCTGTTCGAGGTTTTAATAAATTTGAGACTCCTGTAACAAAATTCGATTTTATTCTTGTCTCATCTGTCCTCTGGAAGGATATGCTAAACTAAACATCTTCAGCAAACTTAAGTATAATCGACCGATTGAGCAATATATCTCTCTATTTCTGTTCCCTTTTAGTTGTTGGTGGTTGGGAAGGAAGTACTCAAAAATTTTATCCCATTGTTGTCCTGTTGGCTTGTTGGGCTACTGCAATATAATGGTGCATGAAGGGGTAGCCTTCTGACCCTTTTGTTTTTGGTTGTTGAAAAAACATCCTTATTTTTGGTCATCAGCAAATTAGCATGTTGCTAGCGGGTTGACCAGGAGCCTCCTCTCCTTGCAGTAGGGTGCCTTGGGTTCGGTCGGGTTGCGTATTGCGATAGCCCCAAATAGTACATTGTCAAATTTTATTTTCTTGGTAAGCTTTAGCTTAATCGATGGTACTAAATAAATTAGTAAAAATGCCAACATTACCTCGGAACTTTATTTTTAAGGCAAATTTAAACTATTTGACATGAACGGTGTCTTAACTACAACTTTTGATACGAACTTTATCTGTATGCTTAAATTGAAATAAATTTGGACGCTAAGTGCTTGTTTGGTTGCAAGATATTTCCCTTGAAAATGGAAATTCCTAGGCAATAGCTAAAATATGTGTACAAATTCTTAAGTAGACTTGGTTCACATTAATTTTATTGTGATCCACAATTATTAGGGACAATATGGTTGCTATATTAATTAAAAAAAATAAAATAAAACGTCACTATGTTAAAATAAAGGTTATTATGTTAAAATTTGAATGAATGTGTTTTACTCTGTTACTATGTTAGTATAAAGATCATAAGAGGTTTTTTTTTTAAATGAATGTGTTTTATTCTAGTCAATATGAATAATAAAGGTCACTATGTTAAAACTAAGGCTAATATGTTTAACATAGCATCGGTTGACATATATGTACTTCAGCTTCATGATAATATTAAAGGTCACACGAGTTTGTTAAAAATTGGGTTACTATATTCAATACAATGATATTTGCGCTTGTACAGGTCCACAATTATATTATTGTGAACCAGGTCCACACAAGTTTTTTTCCAAATATGTTGTGTTTGATTAGAAATTTCCTAGGAAATGAAATTTCCAAGGGAAAATGTAAATTCTCAATAGCATGGAAAATAACTCACCCCAAGCCCCTCTAGGCGAGTGAATTCCTACAATTTATAGGAAGTTATTCCTAGGTAATACTAATTCTCATGATGCCAACCAAACACTTTTGCACAATTTTTATACAATTAGCAAGGAAAAAAAAAATCCCATGGTATATGATTTCATGTAGGAATTTATTTCCCATGTTAAACCAAATAAGCACGAGTGAACCCAATGGTTGCCCATAACCATTGTGGTTATCACTTATTTAATTTTATTCATTTCTCTATCTTTCCCCTAATCTATAACAACTCTTATACCCATTTTATAACCAATGCATCTTAATGGTGACCATATATTTTTAGTCATACATTTTCTCTCTCTTACTTTTACCCTACCCTGCCACACAATCTCTCTTAAATCCTATCATAGATAGATAATACAATTGTAAATAATCAATCAAAACTAATAATTATACATTAACATACATTTGGATAAAGTGACTTATAATTAAACATAATGCAATTTGGGATTTAGTTAGTAAGTAATTAGTCCGTTAATTAAGAAATAAACAATTATTTTAACGACTTAACTAAATTCCATAATGATAACAAAAATACATATTTTAACAAATGACAAGAGTCTTTGATAGATAACAACCGTGATAAACTACCAAATTATAATTTAATGTTACGATTACAAATCCATTAATGGATATTATTTGCCTACTATTAACACCGAATTTGAGCCACAAAAGTACTACTAAGTAAGTCTATCTTCAGGGCATGATGCATAGCTTCATTACGAACACGAACTCTATTAGACATGTAATTTTCCAAACTTGCAATTCGGTTGTTGCTATTTTGAAATTGAAAAGGCTCTTCATTATTTCCATTACTTGAAGACGCAAGTGTAGCTTGATCATATTCATTTGGATCGTAGGACGTTTTATGCGTATCTCTTTCATCCTCAACAATCATATTGTGTATAATGATACACACTATCATTATTTTTCCTAACATAAATGCGTTACGAGCTAGTGCAAGATTCTTAATTATTGCAAAACGAGCTTGTAGTACTCCAAAAGCACGCTCAACAACCTTTCGCCTAGCTTCTTGTATTTTAGCAAAAAAGCCTTCTTTTTCATTTTGTGGTAGTGATATTGTAGGAATGTATACTCGACATTTAGGATACATACCATTAATGGGATAATACCCCATTTAATATTAGCGGCCATTCACAACATAGTTAATAGGTGGTGCACAACCTTCAAAAACATCGTTAAATAAAGGAGATCTATCAAGAACATTAATATCGTTACGACTACCAAGTGTCCCAAAAAAAGCATGTCAGATCCAAAGATCATATGATGCCATAACTTCCAAGATTAATGTGGGTTTACCTGGTCTTCCAGTAAACATACCTTTTAATTGAAGTGGACAATTTTCCACCATCAATGCATTCAATCAATAGAACCTAACATGCCTGGTCCTCGACGTTCACCAATTCTTAGTAGTCTTACCAGATTTTCTTCATTTAACTATCTGAGGTATTTATCACTAACATAAGAGACAATTCCTTCCACAAATTTTGTTGAGAATCTCTTGCAAGAGAAGCTCTAATCCGAATGTAATCATCCACATAATCAACAGAGTTGCCACAAGCTATTAGCCTCATACAGGTTGTGCATTTTTGCAATGTAGAAGCACCAAATCTTACTGTAGCATCTTGCCTTTGCTAAAAGAAGGGATGACGTTCTTCTAAAATTTACTTTATACGGAGAAAGATATGTTTGTTCATGCGAAATCTCCCAATGAAATAAGTGTGGCGGGAACACAGGAGGTCAGCAAAGTAGTCATTCCATAGAACGAGGATCCTTGGTGCCCTTGGAACTTGATTTAACATTCGATAGACTTCAACTAGATTGGACATAAGAGCTTCATCCATCATCCGATCAACAAGACGATTGACTTGCCTTTGTCTTTCATATCATTGGTTGTGAATATTTTCTGAATTGGAAGAGGAATAAGAAAGTTGGAGCTTTGGATGATGATAAGTGGCATTTGTGCCACTATTTAGATCCTCTTTTTGCGGTATTTTCCTACGTTTCTCGCTTGTTTGTACGTACCTCTTTTACTCCATTTCATGCATTTTTGTGTATCACACGCTTCATGGGGTTGTTGTTGGTTTTGTTGCACTTTCAGGCACAACGACAACACTTTGAGGCATTTGATGATTGGCGCTGAATTTGGAAGCAAGAAGAGGAAGATATGAAGCTTATGGCCATGTTGAAAGAAGAATGAGGAAAGAAGCAAGGTAGAGTGCCTCGGAGTGAATTTAGAAGAGTTTTAGAAGGAATTTTGTGCAAGGGTCAACTTCAAATGACCATAACTTTTGATCTTTTAAAGTGATTCAAATTGGAGATTCAAGTTCGTCTCAAGAGCTTTCCAACGTCTGGTCACATTCCTTATTCCAATGAGTAACAAAGAAGTTATGGTCTTCTGAAACAAAGATGCTTCTAACAGGAAATTATGCACGGCCGTGCTAGATGTTGCAAGACCGTGTTGAATGTGCACGACCGTGCCAAATGTGGCACTTCCGTGCAGGACTCTGTTTTAGCTTTTTGAAGTTTCTGCTCAGTCTGCACGTCCGTGCCAACTTTGGCACGTCCGTGCGGACCTGTATCCGGGTCTTTTTCCTCGTTTTCTCCATCCTTTCTATTTGGGCATTGTATAAATACCCTTTGGCTTCTTTATAAAAGAGGAGTTTTTTTCTCCTCTTTGAGGGGGAGGATCCCTAACTTCTCCATCATCTTCACACCTAAATTAGCTTAGATTAAGCTTAGTTATAGTTTTAATTCTTGTTTTTATCCTTTGTAATGTAGATTAGGGGTAGTTTAGAGAGAGAAAGTGAGGAGCTTTAATGGGTTTTTGAGAGGTTGAAGATGCTAATGGTGACAATGGTGTTTTGATTTCTCCTAAAAATTCAATGAGCATTCCTAACTCTATCTCAATTTATTGCTTTCTTTAATTCTTGCTTTTCTTAATTTCTTGAATGATTAGTGTAGCTGATTAGATTAATTGCTTTTCTTTGTCGCTCTTCATTGTTCTTGATTGTTGGTTTGATTTTAGATTATTTGATTAGCTAGTTTTAACCATGCTTAGTGAGTAGTTCCTTTAGTGAGGGGTTGGGTGAAACTCAACCTAATGGTTATTTAAGTGATTTTGGGGGATGTCTTAGTGATTGATTGTAATTAAATTGATTATATGGGATTGCTTGTTAGTTCTTCATGATAGGAGTAGCTAAGCTTGATTATTGAACTTGATGGCACGAAATGTTTGGTTTGACATGGAAATGTGAGTTGAATGTTTCATTACCTATTACAATTTGACTATGTATCTCTTGTTGCTAAGTTAATGAGGAATCTAAGCTTAGTAATATGAGTTGTTTTCCTATTGCTTGAAGTTGGTCTTACATGTAGTCCTTACTTTCTAAAATCTTTGTTACTCCCAATTTTCTTGATTTCCATGGTCGAGTGAACCCCATTCTCTAGTGTCTTTATTTCTTGGATTTTAGTCCTTGGTTTGTTCCTTTTTATGTTAGTTCACTCATTCTATCTCTTCGACCTAGCTTAGTTGGTGGTAGTGTTGATAGTGTTTATGCCGTCTCTCTGGTTTGACCCTCTACTTACCACTAAACTTGTTTAGTGTAGGTGTAGGCTTATAAATATTGTTTGGTTGAGGGTAGTTAGTCCAACGACCTAATTATCCCTCCATCAAAATGGCGTCGTTGCCGGGGACGGTTTCCATTATCGTTGCATTACCTTATTGAGTCTAGGTCTTTGTGAATATTTTTTTTTTGTTTTTGTTTGTGTATTTAATTTATTTATTTTTTTATTTTTTATTTATTTTTTTTTTATAAAATAAGGGGGAAATTCCAAAAATATTTGAGCTTTCTTATTTGGTTGCTATTTGTTTTGCTGCATTGAGTCATGGATTAATTTGTCAAAAATGAAATGTCACATCCGTCTTTGCCTCAATTTGAATATGAGCCCTTTTGGGTGTACTTTGATAGGTTTGGAGACTTCTCTAATTACCATGGTTGTACTTTATGGGAGTCTTGTGAGATAATTTATTGGGGTTTGAATGAATACACTAGGGGGGTGGTTGAAAACATGTTTAATGGTGAATTTCGAGCCATATCTTCGGATGAGGCTTGGGATTTCTATTTGTGGTTTGCTAGGGATAACAATGAGCAAGATAATTATGTTAATTGTCATGATTTTTCTAATTCTTGCATGAACTCTAATAATGATTCTTATGTTCCCCATGATGAACCCTTGATGCATGATGGCAACCCTTCCTATTGGTATTCTAATTGTGATAAGACAAATGTTGATAATGTTCATGATATTTTTCAATGTTCATCAAATATGTGCATGGATTCCAATGATGCTTCACACACCCCAAATTCTCAAATGCATAATTCTTCATCTATCTTTCAAATGCAAGAAGAGTGTATGGAGATGCTTAAGGATTCTGTGAGAAGGGATGATGAAGAGAGGAATAAAAGGGAAGCTTGGATTAAAATGATGGAAAGTACAATTGCCCAAATAACCTCTTCCCAAAAGAATACTTTTCCTTCTTCTCCCTCCTCCCATTTAAGTGAGCCTAAGAGTAATCAAGAGAGTGAGACACCTCATTTGGCATTTGAGAGTATGATTGAGGACGATGAGGATGATATGGAAAGTGATGGAGGGAGTATGGATGGTGAGAATTTTGATGAATTCATAAATACCAACCCCTCCACCCAATTTGAGCCTCAAAACTCTTCGCAACCCATTGATGATGCCAATTTGGTGCAATTGAAGATAGATTTGAGGTTGCTTAGAGGAAAGTTTGGTTATGATGATGATGATATACCCATGTTTACTCATGGTAACTTGGGGAGTGTTAACAATGATGATCATGCTCTTGTTGAGAATGAAGAGTCCCAATTGGTGATTGAGGATATATCGAAAATCTTTGGGGATAGTGAAGATGTGTGGGAAGAGAAAGCTTGTGATTCAATGCTAGGTGGTGTAGTTGATGAGGTTGTGAGTGAGATACCGAATCCAATCCTATCAACTTACACCCCTTTTTCAAGAAATTTTAGCAATGTTCCTTCTTATCCCATCTCACTACCTTATTTTCTCAAAAATCAACCAATTGAGGAGCCCCTTGTCTCTCTAAACCACCATGACCTTAGTTTTGAATTCAATGATGAAATTTCACCTCCCAAAAAGCAACTAAATGAGTTTATACCCTCTTTTCCATCTTTTGATTTTTCTTTTGATTCTTTTGATTTTTCTTTTCCCCCTCCCCTCAAGCATAGAGTTTCTTTCAACTTTGTGCTTGCTTGTCATATGAGCATCACTTATGCTCTTTTTCATGAAATATTTTCCGATGCATATGACAAGCTTTTGCGTTCTTTGTCCGGTTATTTACTAATAAGGTCAATCTTGGACCTTAAACAAGACTTTCTCGGGAAGTAACCCGTGTTTTTATTGTTTTTACTTTTCCTTATTTCTTTTAATTTTGTTTTCCTCTTGTTTCTCTTTGTATATAGGTACTTGATGTCTATACTTTTGCACATGACCTTGGATCGAGAACCATAAAAAGAAACAAACCAAGGAATGCTTGTGATTGGAAGTTGAAGCATCAAAGAAGAGTAATTAGATGGAAATGATGAAAATGAGTTCATTTGCGGGTTGCACACCCACCTATCATTTGGTTCACTCTTTCCATTTTCTCTTTTTTTTATTGCTTTACCTTCTTATTATTCGCATGTGGTTTGAAAGATACATGTTTGTGGTTTTGTTGTTTCCTTCATCCCTTTCTTGGTCTCTTGATTGCTTGATTTACCCCTCCATACATACCAAGGTTTATTTTTGACTTTGGTTATTCTATATTTGGATGGCCATGAGCACCTTATTGATTTGACTTTTGGTATACATGGATTTGTTGATCATGCTCTCATCTTGCACAACTGTATAAACATTCTCAAGTTGTTTTTGTCTTGTGAATATTTTCTTGTATAGAGTCTTTTTCTTTAAAAACAAGGCAAGTTTGCGTATGTGTTTTATTCATTCTTGTTTTGGACTTAATGTTTTGAGCTTGTGTCCTTGAAGGCTTTCCTTCCTAATTGGTAATGGTATGCACCGTTTGAGAGTGTTTTGGGT